ATTATGGGAGTCACGGATAATCCTAAACGTTGCCATATTTCATTTTATTTAGTAATTACATCCACTAAACACATTATGGAAGTCATCCATAGTAGCACATCTTGGCATATTTCACTTTCTTTACCAATTAAACTCACCAAGCAAACTATGGGAGTCACGCATAATGCTAAATCTTGTCAAATTAAATTTTCTTTAGTAATTAAACCTGCTAAAGAAATTATGGCAGTCATCGATAGTTGTAGATCTTGGCATATCTAATTTCCTTTACCAACTAAACTCACTAAAGAAATTACGGAAGTTACAGAAAATGCTAAATCTTGGCATATTCAATTTTCTTTAGTAATTACACGCACTAAAGAAATTATGGCACGTAGCGATAATTGTAAATCTTGGTAAATTTCACTTTCTTTACCGATTAAACTCACTAAAGAAACTATGGGAGTCACGGAAAACGCTAAATCCTGGCATATTAAATTTACTTTAGCAATTACAGCCACTCAAGAAATCATGGGCGTCATCGATAGTTGTAGATCTTGGCATATTTAATTTCCCTTACAAATTAAGCTCACTAAAGAAATTGTGGGAGTCACGGATAATGGTAAATCTTGGCATATTCCATTTTCTGTAGTGATTACACCCACTAAACCGCTTATGGGAGTCATCGACAATTGGATATCTTGGCATATTTCATTTTCTTTACCAATTAAACTCATCAAGCAAACTATGGGAATCACGGATAATGCAAAATCTTGGCATATTCCATTTTTTTTAGTAATTACAGCCGCTAAAGAAATTATGGCAGTCATCAAGAGTAGTAAGTCTTGATTTTATTTTCTTTAGCAATTAAATTCACTAAAGAAATTGTGGGAGTCACGGATAATGCTAAATTTTGGCATATTCCAGTTTCTTTAGTGATTACACCCAATAAGAAATCATGGGGGTCATCGATGATTGTAAATCATGGCATATTTCACGTTCTTTACCAATTAAACTCACTAAGCAAACTATGGGAATCACGGATAATGCAAAATCTTGGCATATTCCATTTTCTTTAGTGATTACACCCACTAAAGAAATTACGAGAGTAATGGATAGTTGTAAATCATGGCATATTTCACGTTCTTTACCAATTAAACTCATTAAGCAAACTATGGGAGTCACGGATAATCCTAAATCTTGGCATATTGCATTTTCTTTAGTAATGACCTCCACTAACCAGATTATGGGAGTCGTCGGTAGTTGTAAATCTTGTCATATTTCATTGTTTGATTAGCAATTAAACGCACTAAAAAAATTAGGGGACTCATCGATAGTTGTAAATCTTGGCATATTTCATTTTCTTTAGCAAGCAAACTCATGACAGAAAATTTGAGAGCCGTTGGTAATGCTAAATCTTGGCATATTCCATTTCCTATAGTAATTAAACACGCTAAAGAAGTTATCGAAGGCATCGATAATGCTAAATCTTGGCATATTTCATTTTCTTAGTAATTACCTCCACTAAACAGATTATGGGAGTCATCCATAGTTGTACATCTCGGCATATTTCGTTTTCTTCACCAATTATACTTGTTAGAGAATGTGTTTGTATGTAAATTTCTCTAAGTAATGTATTTTCAAAAATGAATCGATACAAACGTCGACGACAAAAAGGATGTGATCAGTGCAACCAAAAAAACTACTAACTAAACTGATAAATACACGCACTTATATTGGAGGTGAAATGAGGACGGAAAAAACAAAGAAAAAGAGAAATATATGTCTAAGGACATGTGTACATACGTAAAAGATGGACTGAAACAGAAAGACAAAATGTGTATGCCCAAATAAACGAGAACAAAGTGAGAGATGTGATCTCTCACATCCTCCCTCTCACTGAAAATGCTGTTCATCAAAAGTCCCTTTATGGGAAAAATAAACATCTTACAAAAATAAAGTCACTTGTGTGGCTTTGACTAGTTTTTTTGTTTTTGTTTTTTTTCTTTTTTACTGTTCTTGTCTAATCACGAATATGACAGGTCATGGATAACGACATGAAATAAGATGCAGATAATGTTGCCGTGAAAGCCACCATGGAGTTAAAGTTTGTTCGGCATGTTGCTGAGCTTCGAGATTTGGTAGACCGATGTAAAGAGATATATTGTTGTTTCTTCCGTTCTTATTAATCAAAACGTTTTTGTTGTGAATGTTGACTTGATGCAGAAGATTTTTCACACGTGTATGAGTAAAATATTGGTGAATGTTTCGTCGTACGACTTCAATTTGATAATGTTTTCGTCGTAGTTTGTCTCTTTTTTTGATATTGTCTCTTTGTTTCTTGGCTTTTGAACGAGGGTTGCGTCGAACTGAAGTTGGAGCACACAGTGGTGTTTCAACCGGGATTAGTTGTTGATTCGAAGTGGGTGGCAACGGTGAGGACGAAAGCACGGAAACGGGGGAGGCATTAACGACTAATTCAGGCAATGTGAGTTGTTCTACTGCTTTTAACGGTTGGGATTCTTCGTATTCCTGTTGTAAAAGCTTTGGTGATAACGAAACGGGAGCGAGAGACGGCATTGATGTTACTGTTATTACTGCCCGTCGTTGTCTATATTCTTCGATCGAAATCGGTCGTCGAGATTTTTTTGGTGGCGGTGTTTGTTCTTCTTCTTCAGAATCTTCTGCTTGTTTCCAAAGTTCTGGACGTTTGAGAATCATCCTTAAACATGTTGGCCCTTCATTTGTACGTTGTTGTTCTGTTGTGCTGTTATTATTTTCATCATCAGAAATCATTTCATAGTCGTTGTCTACTAATGGTAATGAAGTGAGGGGTGGTGCCAGTGGTGATGGGGCATAATGTTGAGGAGACGGTGATGAATCTGGATAATGATGACGATAATAAAGTTGGGTATCCGTTTGTGAACAAATGTTGAATCGCAAGACAATCGGCTGATGCATAGTCACTGAGTCGTTTACAATGAATTGTTTGTTCTCGAGTACGTGAGAAAAGTCGAGGATCCAAGCCACAATCAAATTTGGAAATCGTATACCGCTTGTTTAGAAATAAACGGCTCGAATGGACTAATGCGTCTTGAAGTGAAAATGGGTCGCTCACTAATTTTTGGCTACATAGTTCACAATGACAGTTGGATTGTAAGGTTATTATATGATAATTTATTTGTTGATCGATGGAGTTTGCATTTAAAATTTGTGATTCATCGAATAAACCAAACGGAACGAAATTATCCAGTTCACGGATTGAACCCCACGAATGAATTGTTGCTTTCGAGGTTAAAATGGTTTTGAATAATTGTTGAACTAATGTGAATTTCGGGGACGTTGTTCGTGGCATAAATTTCGTTTCGAAGAGGAGGACAAGAGACGATTCGTTTGGGTGGACTATTTGAATTTGAATAAGAGCGGGACGATTAGGAGCTCGAGTATGAACTTGAATAATCGATTCGTTGTCAAGGAAGAAACGGACAGCATTGCTTGCAATTTTTAATATTTTTCCTAATTGATCGACGTTGATTTTTTGTTAATCTTTCATTTATTAATCGGTCTTGAAGACAATCAATTTCTTCCTGCTGTGAGAGATGTTGTGATCACATTAAGCAAACTTTTGTTTTTTTAAAAATTATAAAGAAATTATGGCACTAGGTTGTTATGCAATACTCTATTAAATTATGATGACGGTGGTGTCATGATCAATGCAATAGGCCAAAATCTTGTTAAATCATTTGTTCTTATCAATTCTGAATATCGCGAATACCAGGTGTTAAGAACTGCACTTTTAGAATAATATTCCAAATCAATTCAATGATTCATCAAGCAGTTGAATCACATACGAAAGGGTCAACTATAAATTAGAATATGGCAGCCCATCTGGACAGTGAACACAAAATAGTTTACTCCCCGTCTAGCCTTGCTAAGCCATGTCTTCTTCATAAACTAATCCTTAGTAATGTAATTCTCCCGTTTTAGCAGGATTGATCATTGACGAATCTGCCGAAACGGCCGGTTCTACGAGAGTGATAAATTTCTTTCAAATAATGGTAGCATTACATCGACTGTCACTTGTTATAATTGAAAATAACGAAGGATAATTGTTCGGCCCAGTCACTTTTATTTTGGTTTGAAAGTGCTCCAATCTTTGAATCCATAGTACTGTTAAATCTTTCAATTTGACCATTTGTTTGAGGGTGGTAGGGTGTCGTGTACAAATGGATGACACCGAATTGTTTAAATAGTTCTTCCGTTAATAATGCAGTGAAATGTGTGCCGTTGTCCGTTAGAATGCACTTGGGTGTACCGAATTTGGTAATGACATCTTCTTTTAAAAAATGGACTACCGTTGTTGCAGAGCAATCCCGCACGGATTTAGCTATAACGAACTTTGAGAGGACGTCGGTGATGGTGATTATATATTTGTTGCCACGTTTTGATGACGGTGTGATCGGGCCGTGGAAATCCATACTTAGTAATTCCCAAACGCCGCTTGGGGATGGTATTGGCTTTAAATGTCCAGGTGCTTTTCGTCGTTGTGGATTGAATTGCGCGCATTGGATACATGATTTGAGGTGGTGTTGGATGTCCTTTGTCATGGATGGCCAATAATATCGTTCTCTGATTTTGTGTAGAGTTTTATCACGACCGAAATGCGATCCATTGGCTGCCGTATCATGATATATCTTGAGAATGCTATTACGAAGAATTCCTTTTGGTACCAATGGTACCGGTGGAGTATTGCGACGCAATAATAAACCGTTTTTTGTAAAATAATTATGGTGATTTTGAATATCTATATATATAAAGAAGAAAGTTTGTTTGTATGTTTGTTTGTTCTCTATGCATTCAGTCCCTGTAAGAGCTAAAGCAGCCAAAATTTGCATGGCACACCCTTGGATCCAGGGGAAGGTCAAGAGGGGGTCGGCGAGACCAAAGGAGGGAGGGGGAGAGTTCCCGCCCAGTTTTCAAAAAGTGGTGGAAAGATTTTCGGATTTTTATGTTCTCCGATTTCTGAGGTACTTACATCTTGCTTTTATATCTTCGCACTGCCCTTGGTCAAGGGCTACTTTTCAATATAAAACTTTTATCTCTGGGATACTTAGTAATCCGATCGTTGGACCGCTACAGTGAGTCTCATCAGAGAAGTCCGAAGTGAAACTGTTTTCTCGATAACTCAGCGGGGGTGCTTCGACAGCGGAGGGATGGAGAGGAAAAATGGAGTGGAGGAGTATTATTCCTTCCTCTCACCTAGAGGAAGGTCGACGACCCGTTTTTGTCGAAAAAATATCGATCCTTCCCCCCAAAAAATAGCCTCCTACTTTTTCGAAAATACGTCCCACGGAACGATCCAAGGAGTGCATTATCCAGGTGGAACGATATGGTTCCGTAGAGTGGATGCAATGATAGCTACGTTATGATATATCTCTACAAAGAAGAATGTTTGTCTGTCTGTACACTATACATTCAGTTCCTGTGATAGCTAAGGTCACCGAACTGTCCACATCAGTTGTTTAGGTTTCAAGGAAAGTTGAAAAAGAGGGTCGACATGGTCATCGGGAACGGGTAATAGGGGCCTAGGTGAAACTTCACACAGGTCATCCGACACGGCGACTTTTCCCAATTCTTCATCAAATGACAAAACTTGCTGTGAATTCGAGACTG